ATCCAAGAATTCTCGGATTCCCGGATTCTCGGATCCAAGAATTCTCGGATTCTCGGATCCAAGAATTCTTGCCTTCCTGAATCTCATCCCTCCACCATCCCTATAGCTCGACCATCCCTCATCCCTATCCAAACTATCCACCCATGCAGCCATGGTCTCTGCATGCAGGACCATGGATTGGCTGATCGAGCAAACCTGGTGCAAGTGATGCGGTCTCTGCGAAAGTAGTGACGCGGTCTCTACTCTGCTCTCAGTTTCTTGGGTGAGGTTTACTTCAGCCCTCAAATCTTAGGATATAACCACCAAATCCCCAACTTTTGTGCGGAAATATCCACAAAAGTGAAATCCGGGAATCCGAGAAAAACCCAAGAATTGCCCGAGAAAAACCGAGAAATTTCTTGGGGTTGGGAGATCAAGTTTTTCCATTTTTTCAACTTTGGTGGCTTCCTGCAACTTTTCTCAGGTTTCTGTGGAACTGAGGGGGTGAAGTTTCTGTGCACCCGAGAGTTCTCTATATATGGCTTAGAACTCTAAAGCTAATTCAGAATCATCTTTGCCAAATTCATACCCCATGGGCAAACGCCCACCTCACTTGGAGCCTGCGCGGACTAACAGTGGGTGGAAAATGGTTCATGCTTCACGCAAGAAACAACTAGCTATCATTGTCCAGTGGTTTGTGGCAATGCCTTTGAAACAACCAGCTACCATCGTTGATTTTTGTGGATCATTTGTAGGGGGGTTGAGCGCTTGCTAATAGCTTCTGATAGCGCCATGTCTGCAGAGCAAGTCTTCAGAAGGCATCGTGGGAAGTCAGCGCCCCGAGGGCGCTCACCGGATCCAAAGGCTTTGAAGAAAGCAGCTAAGGAGAAGAATGGCAAGGGAGATCCTTTTGTGACACCACCACCTAGAACAGCAAAGTCTAAGGACAAGCAAAGCAGCAGCGATTCAACTAGGCGTGGGCTTACCTTTGGCAAGAACACCATCTTTGACATCAGGGCTGAGAACAAAGCACCAGAGCCAAACCTTCGTCAAGCTGATGCCATTTTGGATGGCCTTAAGGACTTCAGTTCTAGATGTGTAGACATGGCAACCCAGTCTCTTGAACCTAGCCTTCATCCAGCAACAGCTCCTATACCATAAAGCCTCATATCCCTGCACCCAGTCTGTTGAACCTAGCCTTCATCCAGCAACAGCTCCTATACCATAAAGCCTCATATCCCTGCAGGACCAAAAGAAAACGAAGGGCAAGAAGGTGAGCGACGATGAATCCTCATCAGATGAGGAGACTGCGCGCTTTTATGAACGGTATTGGAAAAGGTTTGAACGACCGGGTATCTTTAAGAAAGCACCAGGGATTGTACGAGGTCTCCTACTGAAAAGAAAAAAGTTGTCATTAAAACAAATGAGACAGTGGTGGGACCGATACAAAGTCAAGCGGGAGGAGCCAGAGGTGACTGACAAGAAGGTATCCAAGAAGAGCAAAGCTGAAGCAAAGAAGAAAGGAGAAAAAGCAGAGAAGAAGAAGACTAAGGGAAAGGAGGAGGAAGAGAAGACGACTAAGAAGAAGACCAAGGAGAAGAAAGAAGCACGTGAAGAAGTGAAGGGGAAGAAAGTGAAGGATGATGGAGAAGTGAAGGAGAACAAGGCGCAGTCCAAAAAGCGACAGGTGGCAGAGAATGCCAAGGAAAGCACAAAGCTCAGAAGTGAAGAGAAGAACAAGAAGTCTAAAACTGAGGAGGAAGAGAAGGACAAGAAGGCTAAAAGTGAGGATGCAGAGACGAAGAAGAAGAAGGCCAAAAGTGAGGAGGAAGAGAAGAAGAAGGCTAAAAGTGAGGAGGAAGAGAAGAAGAAGGCTAAAAGTGAGGAAGAGAAGAAGAAGGCTAAAAGTGAGGAGGAACCGGTGGCTGTGCCCAGTCCGAATGACAGTGATGATGAGGACAGTGAGGATACATCAAGCGATGATGTCAAGGAATCGGCTAGCGAGGATGAAGCTGAGGAGGACTCAGACAGTGCCAGTGGAGATGAAGAGGATGAGGACAGTGAGCCAGCAAATAAAGGCAAGAAAGGCATATTGAAGACAGCAAAGGAAGATGAGGAGAGTGAGTCTTCGGAAGATGAAGCTGAATCTTCGGAAGATGAAGATGATGATGGCACAGAGGCTGAGGAGCAAGAAGAAGAGGAGGAGGAGGAGGAAGAGTCGGAGTCTGAAGAGCCTCGTCCTAAAGAAAAGAAAAGACGCCGTGGAAGTGATGGCAGCGACAGCGAAGAAGAGAAAACAAAGAAGAAGAAGAAGAAGAAGGAAAAGAAGCAAGAGAAGACAGAGAAGGTCAAGCGCAAGGAGCGCAAGGAAAAGGAGGATGATGATGGCAAGGAAAGGGAGGAGAAGAAGAAGGAAAAGAAGAATGAGCTGAAGGACGCAGAAGAGGAGCTGACCAAGAATTCAACAAGCCATCGCAAAGAATGGCAGCAGTTCTCACGGTGGCTCAAGAATTCGCGTCGGTGTCCTGCGAAGATCATCGCAGCTTGCAAGAGCTCGGAGACTCGCCGGCAGCTCTTTGCTGACTATCTCGAATCGGGTGACTTCGGGCAGGTCAGCGCTAAGTTCGAGCATAAGCTGGAAGAGACTCAAAGGACCAAGCTCAGGTATGGCTTTCGCAATGAACAGTGGTTGAGGAAAAACCATGGTGACACCAAAGCCGTCAAGATCATGAAGCCGAAACGGGAGATGGGGTTGAGACTTGGCGCTATCAGAAACCTATAGCTTGATAGCCACGTCTTGAAATGGTAGATGGTCTTCTTCTAGTTCAGCCCAAACCCATCCCAAAACTCCCAGAACCAAGCCTCTCTTCCCTTCCATAGAGCGACCATCTTCTTTGATCAGTCCTCGCGCGGCAAAGGACAATTCCTGACCCTGAGCTTCCGGGTGAGCCAGATTGCTTGTTATACTTTGTGATGGTCGAGTTCAACATCGATGATGTGAAGGAACTGCGTCGAATAACCCAGATTGAGATGTCCGGCCATCTGGATGCTGATGGCCTAAAGGCCTTTGTTGAAGTTTCTTGTCGATCATACTTTGGTGAACAAATATGATGTGCATTCATACCTGAAGCTCCAAAGACCTTGAAGCTCTTCTATATATATACATATATATATATGTAAATGAACCTAAAACGACAGCACATGATCCCAGGCTGGTGGATGCCTTGATGGGAACCAGCACCTATCGATCTCTGAGCTGTCTGGCCCCGGAGGTATGAAGAACGTGGCTGCCGCTATGGGATCCTTCGGTTCAGGTAAGATTAAGAAAGGCAAAGGCGGTCCCAAGGAGGTCCCAAAGAAGGAGGATGCTAAGAAGGCTAGAGCCTATTTCATGCAGGTCAGTTTCTAATGTTCTGTCAATTTATGGGGGTAATGTTCATATTGTTTCTTTCAGGTGGAGATTGAAGAGCCCCTCAACAAAGCTCAATCCTTGCTGCAGCGTGTTCTCAAGGATGCAAACAGCTGCAGGTAACTTGGTGTGTTACTGGTGGTGTCTGGAAAGAGTATGTTATCAGTATCACTTCATGTCAACAGATTATTTGTTATCTTTTGGTACACGATGCATTGCTGAGGGACCAAGCATTTAAATTGCGGCCTCTATCCTTGTCGACTGATCTCATTGCGCAGCTGAAAGCTTGCTCCGTCAAATTGCAGCATCACGCTGATGTGTTGCAAACGAAGATCGCCAAGAAGTGCAACAAGAAGAAGCATTATCGCGAACTCGAAGCACAGGTAAGGGCTTAGTACATGCTCTAGTCGGATCACGCTGATCGTATCAACCTTTGTTCAGTGCATTCGACTTCAATCCATATGTTCACATATGTTTTTGCATGTGTATGTGTGTTACCGCGTGGACAGGTGGAGCAGGACACCAAGATTGCGAAGGACAGAATTGATCTTGCAAAGGCATTGATCAGGGCATCTGACAAGCCAGTGAAGCCAAAGAAATCCAACAAGGATGAGAAAGACCCCAATACAGCTAGCGCAGAGGCCAAAGGCCCCACTACTTCCTAGTTTCACTGAGCCCAATCTTGTGCGCCGCGAAGCCCGTGGCCAATCTTTTCGGGGGTTGACAATTGAGTGACTGACCAAGCCAGCAATTGATAGTTCTCTCTGATGATTATGTTCTTTTCTTTTTGGTGCTTCCAACCATTTAAACAATAACAGCTAACAACACTGAATTTCTTCTAGCTCTAGCTCAGTGGTGCTGCACGGTCGCATTCAATCTCGGGGATTACCTCGGCTACATTAGCAAATTGCCTCGGGGCTTACCTGCGAGGATCTGCATCGAAAGGAAACGTGAAAAGGGTTTTCTGTCAGCTCGCGAGGACACATATTCACATGCATAGAAGTACTTAAAAACCCACCGCAGGTCCAGATCACCAACATCACGATCCAGGTCTCCTACCAGGCCATCTTCGCAGAAGCCTTCTTCCAAATCTGGCGCCTCAGATCGCATAGCCATGATGTTGTCTAGGTTCGAGGTCTGGGTCATAAGAGGTGGGTTCTTGGGCTCATCTTGGGATTAGAATCTCCCATTTTGTTTAGGGCGTCCCATAAGTCGACCATCTAAGGCCTTGAGATGGTCAAGGACGCTTCGAGTTCCAGCCTCCGCTATTTGCGGAAAATCTGCAGTGGCGTCAGGGGACCCAAAACAGCGTCGAGAGTCACAATGGGTCAATGGTCTTTAGAGTTTTTGGTTGTCATCATCATGCCACGAGAGCTACTGCTAAAAGCTTGATGTGAGTTTTGCGCGTGCAATGCCCTAGGCTACATCTGCTAGAGATGCCTGTCAAGATGCACAACGCTTGCTTGATGATGGGGTGGATTGTGACCTGGCTAGAACATTGGCCAAGTGGGGCCACGGGGGTCACGAAGAACGAAGTTTTTCGAGGCGCGGCGTGAATCGCGCGCCAAAAAAGGTAAAACATGTTTCAACATGTTTCAACTGTATGTTCATAGATGACATACTTATATACTTCTTGCTCTTAAAGAGGTACGCTGGTAAGATGTGTTTCATAGATACTATCGGATACTATCGGACAACCGCAGGTGGCTTCGGGATGTTTGCGAAGTTCAACCTGGTGAGCTGAGTGTTCCTCTGAGTGTGATGGACGTGCACGGGGAAGAACATGAGATGGACCACCCAATTGCCATCCTCTGGCCATGGGATGTTCTGGCATGGCTTTGGAAATCAGGGAACTTTTTTCAGTGGGTTTCCGACAATCCTAGTGAAGCTGGTGATCGTTTGGAAGAATATTGGAGACATTGTGAACATCTTAGTTTCTTTGGGCAGCTCAATCTTACAAGGTCTGATTATCGCACATGCGTGCCGTTGTTCTTCCACGCCGACGGTGTTAAAATATACAAAAACCAAAAAGCATGGACATACTCCTATAGCAGCGCTTGCAGAAAAGGAGGTTCATTAGAAACAAAGATCGTGCTTTTGCTTCTACGTGAGATGATGGTGATCAAGTACAAATCCCATGACCGGGTTGGACATGCCATTGGATACATCGTAAGAACATTGATGAGTGGCAAGTTTCCTGACACAAACGTTGATGGACACGCCTTTCACCCAGATTCACCGCAAGCTGCAAGGGCCGGCTTGGAGTTCGCAGGTGGCTGGAAACTTGCGTTTGCAGGTTTCAAGGGAGATTGGGAGGCACGTCAGATCATACACAAGAGCATTCGGTATTACAATGCAAAATACATCTGCGAACACTGCATGGCGTCTCGGGAGCCTCAATTCACCTACGGTGATTTTCGCATGAGTGCGAACTGTTTGAGACACCGGTTCACTCACGCTGAATATCGGATCCTTCAAGGGGATAGACAATCAGCGTGGGAAGCAGTTCCAGGGTGGTGTAAAGAGAGGAACTTAGAGGAAGCTCGCCTTTCCAAGTAAAGCATTCTTGTGTATATATATTTGTTTATAGTTTTTGTGGAGAAGACACCTGTCCTATATTCCACATCTTCCACCTTTCCACCATGGCACGGATCTCAGGATGTACTCCATGTTTTTCATCAAGGAGTAGGATGCATCCTGGTGGCCAGTCTTGTGTGTGACAGCCTACAGTGCAAACACGTTGGGATTACTTTGAAAGATATGGATGCCAGGTTATGCCAGGTTATCCAAAGAGGTCTACGCCCATTACAAAAAATGGTGTAGGGACAGGGCGCCGCATGCCACATCGTGTTCACATAGGTTTTCGGCTACGCGTTTCGGGAAAGAAACTTGGAGTTCCTTTCCTGAGTTGGGATCGATCTACAAAGCTGCAGTGGTCAAATGCATGATTTACTGGTGTGCGCAATATCTGAAAGAAGAACGTGGAGTTTCTGGTGGGGAGCAAAGATATCGAACAATGCACCAGTTCGCACTCTTCCAATACCTGATGGACTCCAATGGTCCCTTCTTTGACTGTGACACTACAGGGAAGGTTGTCCAGGCCGCTCGCACGGGATTGCTCGAATACCAACGGCTTGCGTCTGCAGACCGCAAAAAAGAAGGAGACCGAAGGACATTTAAAATAACCCCCAAGTTTCACTCATTACTCGAGCTGACTTTCTATATAACGTCATGCAGACGCAACCCCAGGCTCCTCAACTGAAAGGCAAACAAAGTTTTTGTTGTTCCAAATATTTCCACCAAAAGACACTTATAGCATCTAGCCGACTTAACAACGGTTCGAACAGTTACCCTCCGGCTTCGATCATGAGGTTCGAACACTGCTATCAAGACGAAGACCTGATGCATCAGGTGTCAAAGATCGCTAGCCGGTGCCATGTGAACACTATGGAGGTAACAACCTTAAGCCGCTATACAGGTTTGTTGGAATTGTTTGTGCACAGCTCTCGATGAGCAAGTCTTCACCCGCGTCGCTTTCAATGAGCCCAGACACCGCTGCTCGAAGTCCACTGGAGAAATGCCAGCAGTTTCGCGGCATGGGGTGGAGATGGACAAACGATGGAAAAAACACACTCAGAACTTTAGAGGAGATTGACATGGAACTTGAGTCGGTCGATTCTGTGAACACATCTAGGGTCACTCCTTCAAACTTAAGAATTCTGTACCGCTACATAAGACTCGATCGGCTGGCTGCGGGCATCCATCGCTCCCAAACGAAAACGCACAGAGAACTCTGCAAACTTTACCGTTTTTTGGTGTGTGTGTGTGTGAGTGTGTATATTAAGTGTGAACATATATATACATATCTAATCAAAGTATCTCTTAATGAGATACTTTGGGTTCCTAAAAAGGCTCAAGATTGGCGGTGCTGCAGTGCATTGTGTGCGCATGCAAGCGCTTAAGCGCGCCGTGCATAAGCAGTTCAACGTGCCAATATGGTGGTGTTCATGTTGCTCACGATGTTAATATCTAGAAGGCTTATCTTTTAAGCCTTCAAGACCAGCTAGTCAAGATAAGCTTTTGTATGCCTTCAAAGGCTTGAATTACAACACTCCTGGCTCTCTAGGAAGGCCATTTATGGCATCAGGTCTTCGCCAAAGGCCTAGCAGGACCACCTGGTGCAAACACTGCAGCAGCTCAACATGCGGAGGCTGAAAGCAGAGCCCAATGTCTACTGCAACAGCGCCGGGACAGTTGTCATGGCATATGTAGACGATCTCCTTTGTAGGAGAACCACAGGAGGTACAAGACACGTTCCGCATCGTTCCGCGCTTTGCAAAAACAACTTCTACTACGTCCAACAGGAACACTCACCATGGGACAGACCATCACATTCCTTGGCCGAAACATTACCCATAAAGGAGACCACTTTGAGATCAGCCTGGCAGACAGCTACACAACAACACTTCTACAGGAGACGAGCATGGAACAGTGCAACCCCGCTACCACTCCAGAGACGGCGTCCCTGAAAGCAACAGTGTAAGATGACACTCCACTCAACACAAAAAATACAGATGAATTGCGGGCAAACTACAATGGATGACTTACGCCAAACCAGACCTGTGCTACGCAACCAAGGAACTAGCCAGGTCCCTACAACAGCCAACAGCACTCAGCCAAAAGAAGGCGAAGCGCCTTCTACGCTACCCGAAGGAACACAACACCACAAGTTCGTGATTCAGCCAACCAGACTAGCCAACAACGACAGCGCCCTAGACCTGGACATCTTTGTGGACGCCTACTGGGCAGGCTGTCCAACAACACGAAGATCCACCACAGGATTCGTGACCCGATTCCTCGGGTCAACAATCAATTTTGGCAGTCGAACGCAAGCAACAGTAGAACTCTACGCCTACGCCATCAACACTAGACTGGAGCCACAGAAGGACTACGCGCCAAGAACTTCATCTTGGAATCAGGGTTAGCAAGCAGGCTCAACATGAGGGTTTTTCACAGACAGCAGCAGCGGCAAAAGCGTAGCGACAAGGGTCGGAACCAGCAAGAAAGCAAAACCCGTCGATCTCAAACACCTGTTCATTCAACAGCTCGTTCACCAGGAGTCCTGGTGATCTTGAAGATCGGCGCTCACTACAACACCGCCGATATTCTCACCAAGTATACGCGTCAGCAGAAACACTGATGCGTCGCTTGTGCAACGCAGGCCTTCTTGGCCAGCATTGAACACAGCAATAGCAGTTTCACCACATGGTGCGTACAAGCACCGTGTACAGCATGTGTGAGCGCTCAAGTGCACACGCAGACACACATATTTCTGCGCAGCCATGGGTGCAACAGTTTGACGCCAGATGGACGATTTCAACAAGTCCTTCACGGTGTTTCAGTTTGTCATCGTGATCTTTTTTGGCGCTCCTTTCCAACCTGTCGCGCGCAACACGATTGGGAACAAGTGCAGCTCAACATGTTTGTCAGAGACAGCGTGACCGTAACTTTGCAGGAGTTGCACTCGAAACGCAGCAGACTTGAATTTGAGCGATTTTCTTGCCAACATTTTGCTGGTAATCTCGGCACCGATTTTCGCAGCCATATCTGACCAACAGTGACTTCGCAGATCTCTGACAATGGGCGCGGCGCAGTGACAGCGGGACACATGAAGATCCCACAACAGAACCATGGAGGGCCAGACAGAATGTCCAACATCGGCAGAAGGTTTGCAGCTTCAAGAGCTTGGTGTCACGTGGACATCAACCGAGCGAGAAGGCCAACCCAAGTGAATTGGGCCCAGGGCCCAGAAGAGTGCCCCGCAGAAATTGAGACGAACAACAAGCTCGCTTTCTGGATGGTCTTGTCAGATCAGCAGTTGGTAGATCTCTTAAATGGGGATGACAGTATGTTGGTCAAGACGTTCCCAGACAGAGGCCTGATGCCCTTCCTTGACAACCTGCATGGTGCTCATGACGACGCCGCCCAAGGGACTGATGGATTTCCTGTATCACTTTTCCGAACGGCGCGTTCTGCCGTCCAACGCCAAAAGGCTCAGCTCAAGGCGCTTGCTTTCAAGCTGGCAAACAACTCGGTTGACCTTCTCTTGAGGGCCAACAGGACCACACAGGTGCAAGTGCACCAGGGTACAAGATGGCGTCTCACCAAGCAAGAGCTTGGAACTCAACAGACTGCAGCGGAGCGAGGTGGGCTTTGAGCACTTGTTTAACCAAATGTCGTGGGGCGACGGCTTCATGTGGTCCTTCAACACGCCTCTTGGCCTACGCAAGGTGAACACGGCTGAGGGGAGTCCGCACCTGTGCAGAGTCTTCCAGGCTCTGGAGTATATGGGGGCGCTCAGCAGGTGCTTTGCACGCCGCGCAAGGTTCAGGAAAGGATTCGTGACTTCATCCAGTCCTGGCATCCTTTGACTTCGCGGGGTGAATACATGGAGGCAAAACTTGGCTTGTCAGCGTCGATTACACCACAAGGGTCGCCGAAAACACCAAGCTCATGAACGAGTGGCGACGCTCACTGTTTGGCGAAGGCAAGAAACCAGCACTAAGCATGGACACCGAGGAAGGCAGCGAATGGATGCTTGTGCCCGCAGAGGACAAGAGCTAAAGGCTACGAATGGGTGTCAACATGTGGAAACGATGGCCAGTGAGAGCCTGGAGGTTCAGACCAACAGGTGCATACTTCGCAACCAAAAAAAGCAACCTGAAGACAGCGCCTTTGGACAACGCCTTCGGTGTAAAGTGTAAAGTGTTTAGAAGACTCTCCGGTCTTTTTTTAAATGCCGTGTTGCTCAGATGATGCAACAAGTCAAGGGACTTTGCCAACCTGTGAGATATGCGACAGTGCAACAGTTGATGCGTGTGGGCCAACAGGGCCCTTGAGCAACAGTGGATCGAGGACAACAAGTACAAAGGCGCGTATACAAACAACAAGGGTCAAACATCAGCATTCACTTTTCAAGAGAGAGAGAGAGCGGGGTGGGGGCAAGGGAGCCTGAAGATGGACTGGCTGACTGGAATGTGACACACACACATATATATATATGCTACACCCCCAAGACCTACCTTTTTGGGCTTGCAAGGCATATTGTGAAGCAGTGTGCAGGTGCGAGTGAAGACCAGTTATTGTAATATCTTCCTGATTGTTTGGCTCTACAACTGTCGCAGGTTTTAAACCCTTCAGAATCTCTCTAATGTTCTGTTATTTCTGACATCCTTTGCAATAGTGTTTGGTAGTATCCATTACCTAGTATGTATACCTACTATTTCTTGGAATAGTTTTAAAATAGAATATATAAATATCTATTTACTTAAAGACTCTTCAACTACAACTACAATCACATCTATTGCAGTAAGCATTGCAATTGATACATTTCTTACTCTAAAATATTTTTGTTGTAAATCCACATTCACAGTTAATTTTGGTTTCATTTTCCATAAACCATTGGACGTGTATATAGCCTTCCTTGGGTATTTATCTTTTACCCTTTCTATCCGGTATTTTTTCCCGAATGCGTAGCGAAGGGCTCCCGTTTATAGTTGGGGGTGTGGGGGTTGGACATGTGTTTGCATGGCTTGCGTCGTGTCGTCGTCTCTCGTCGTCTCTCGTCGTCTGTCGTCGTCTGTCGTCGCCTCTCGTCGTCGTGTCGTCGTCGTCGCGTCTCAAATTTGCTGCCATTGGGGGAAGCTTTTGCAAGTGACTTTGCATGGACGTGTCACGTGTCAGTTTGCGCCGCTATTCCATTGTGATTTGCAGGACCAGGACATGTCGCGCGAGAAACGTGATGCGTTTCGCTGCACAGGCGCAGCGTTTTGTGAGATCGGCAGATTGCTGCGCAGTTCCATTGGGATTAGCGTTTGGAGAGCCGTGTTTTTGGGGTGTTGGATGTGGCCGTGCCATTGGGATTTGCGTTACAGGGTGTGGCATCGAAGCGCTGTTTCCGTGACAAGTCTCAGCTGAAATGGCGATTTTGGTGTGCGCTCAGAACGTTTCCTACAAGAGTGTCACACAAGAGTGTCCCACAAGAGTGTCCCACAAGAGTGTCCTACAAGAGTGTCCTACAAGAGTGTACCACAAGAGTGTCCCACAAGAGTGTCCCACAAGAGTGTCCCACAAGAGTGTCCTACAAGACTGTCCCACAAGAGTGTTCTACAAGAGTGTCCCACAAGAGTGTGCCACAAGAGTGTCCCACAAGAGTGTCCCGCAACAGTGTCGCTCAAGAGTGTCTCACAAGAGTGTCCCTTAAGAGTGTCCCTTAAGAGTGTCCGACAAGAGTATCCCACAAGAGCGTCCTACAAGAGTGTCCCACAAGAGTGTCCCACAAGAGTGTCCTAGAAGAGTGTCCCACAAGAGTTTCCTAAGAGTGTCCCACAAGAGTGTCCTGCAAGTGACCCACAAGAGTGTCCCACAAGAGTCTCCCAACAAGAGTGTCCCACAAGAGTGTTCCACAAGAGTGTCCTATAAGAGTGTCCCACAAGAGTGTCCTACAAGAGTGT